AGCCCAAGTTGACCGTGGCAGGCGGGGTCGAAGCAGCCCGTCTCTTAATATATTGTTTGATCTAATCATGTCGATCAGCGCACACAGCGTTTATAGTAACCATACTTATTTCTTTTCTTTTCAGTTTCCTCTTCTACGTACTCACAGGTCAACACAGTATAGCGGTTAAACACTGCGATCGTTGAAAAAGAACCAACAAATAAATACATATGTAAGACTAAATAAACTTACAAACAGAAACAAATGCATTGATAAATAGGAAAAAAGCAGTTCATTTACTTGAACAAAACTAAACACCTCGTTGTCTGGCTTTTTCGAAATATGCCTCCCACGGTCACGTGCAAGTGCTCACGGTGCAGACAAACAACGTTACACAAACATCGGAAACAAAACCAACCCCCCAAAAAAATAAAAATCGCAAACTCGTTTAAATAAATTCGCCATTGCCGGAGGCCAGAGTGTTTTTCAGTTAGGATTAAAATGTCAAGCTCGAGAGGTATTTGGATCATCTTCTCACATAACATGATGTCTTTTTTTAGGGAGTCTACTATCATTGGCTTCGATCTAGTCCCGTCTCAGACGGTTGTTCAAATGTAGGTGCCCACTCATAAACAACCCTTCTGCACTAATAACGGTTTAAAACATAGCCGAAAGCAAAGCTATAATCTATGTGTTCCTCCGTTTTTTTCTGTCTCCATTTCAAATCCTGCACTCTATTCTGTACGTTTTTTACTCCTCTCTTTTGCTTACTCTCTTTTCCTCTATTTCTCTTTTCCAAGTTTCCGCCGTCCCTATTTCCCCTTCTTTCTTTCTCTTTCCATTTCTTGTTCCCCCTTAATAATTTTCGTCTTCCCTTCTTTTTTTCCTTCTCTGTTTTATCAGTTCCGTTTTCCATTTTCTTCTTCCCTTCTCTCTTTTTTCTTTATTTTCATTATTATTGGGTTTTTTTTTTTTGCTTTTCATCCTCATCTTCTGTTGATTTTTTTTCTTCTAATCGCTCTCATCTATGTCCAAGTTTTTTCTTTCTTTCGCACCTCGTTTTTTTCCGCTTTTCACCCCTTCCCCCACTTTTCCCTCTCTTTTCGCTATGATGGTTGGTTGCCGATTTTGTTTTCAAATTTAATTTTAAAGCAGAAGTTTGCGGATCGAGCAGGATTTGGATTTTCCTTAGTTTTCTGAATATTTTCCTCTCAGTCCGATATTCTGTTGGAGCATTCCCAAATGACAAAATCTCTGCTTAGCTAAACTTCAAACTTTCTTCGAGATACTCTCCCTCCTTTTCTACCTCTCTCCCTCCTTTTCTACCTCTCTCCCTCCTTTTCTACCCCTCTCCCTCCTTGTCTACCTCTCTCCCCACTTTTCCCTGCACTCTTTGATTACTCTCTCTTATTGTACTGCGCCTGGATTGTTAAGCAATTTGTTAGCAGCAAATAAAGAAAAGAACATTAAATCATTTTACCAGTTTCAGAGATGGCACGCGCGCTCTCGCGCTTAATAAAAGAACACCGAACGAGACTCCAAGAGATTAAAAGTTAAAGCAAACTGAGCGCTTTACAAGAGATTGAGGCAGAGATCCAGTGACATTGCCCGGGATGTGGCGATCTGAGTGGAAAAGACTGCCATTCAAAATGTATGTATGTCTACTTGGGCATAATCTTGTCCCCAAGACTATAATATCCTGTGTAAAGTATACTCGTATTTATGGGAACACCGTTGTACAAGTTTTCTGAGAAGTGATATCAATTAAGGAATAATCTTTGATTTTATTATTTTTTTTACTATGCATTTAAAATGTCGCCCCCCTCTCTTGTATTTACTCACTCCCTCACTTATTCTCTCACTCACTCCCTCACTCACACATTCCCTCTCTCACTTCCTCGCCCGCTCACTCGCTCAATCACTCACTCATTCACTCACTAAGTACAGCTTATACACACATACTCATCCAGTCATTCACATAATCATTAAATTAATGAGCTCACAAACATACATTGGTCTGTACTTTCATCTGTTTAGAATTCTCCCCAACCGGCGTCTGCGGTGTAGTGGTAATTTCTCCGTCGCATGCAGAAGATCGGAGTTCGATTCCCGTGTGGTGAAATTATTAATCCAGTAAATTGGTTTTTTTGCTGAGACGTTGAATGCCCGGATTGGCCCTGATTGGAATGTTGGAAGCCTCATAAATGATCTTAATTGTGCCAAAAGGGGCGTAAAACGCCAATAATAAAATACAAAATAGGTACTCCCGTTTTTCTCAAACCTCGTCTCCTTTTTCTCTCTTTAGCCACGGTGGCGCAGTTGTATTTACCAAGTTAGTCTCCCTCTCTCACTCTCTCTTTTCTCTCTCTCTCTCTCTCTCTCTCTCTCTCTCTCTCTCTCTCTCTCTCTCTCTCTCTCTCTCTCTCTCTCTCTTTCTCCCTCCTCTCTCTTTCCCTCTCTCTCTCCCTCCTTTCTCTCTCCCTCCTCTCTCTCGCTCTCTCTCTCTCTCTCTCTCTCTCTCTCTCTCTCTTTCTCTCTATTTATATATATATCCCCCCCCCCCCCGAACAACGTCTGTGGTGTAACGATTAGGCTATTGGCTGTCGCACGCAGAAGGCATGAGTTCGATTACTGCGTGTGTGTGTGTGTCTGTGTGTGTGTGTGTGTGAGTGTGTATGTGTGTGTGTGTGTGTGTGTGTGTGTGTGTGTGTGTGTGTGTGTGTGTGTGTGTGTTTGTATGTTCGTGCACGGGGAGGTTGGAAAGTTATCAAGCATCACCGTCTGTCTGCGTTTTCTCTTATCAGCCACTGTGGTGCAGTTGAAGTTACCAATTATTATTCAGTCTGCTCATTGTTGCAGTAGGTTTCAGCTGTCTCTTATGTAAATTTTCTTTAAGACAAAAACAAATGACAACCTCCCTCCCAAAATAAAACAAACAAAAAAGGTTTTCACATCTATGAATTACATGTACTTCGTTGCATTCAATTGTAATATGCATTCGACCGTCAGTTTATATATCCGTACTTCTTTAGTCTTCAAGTCTGTCCGTATACGTCTTCACTTGTCCCTTTGTTGATTATGTATCTGTTTCTTTATAATTCTTTTATTTTGCCTCCCCCCCCCCCCCCGCCCTCGCCCCTAAAAACACAAAATCAAGAATGCCACAGAAGAAGAAGAAGAAGAAGAAAAAGAAGAAGAAGAAGAAGAAGAAGAAAAGAAGAAGAAGAAGAAGAAGAAGAAGAAGAAGAAGAAGAAGAAGAAGAAGAAGAAGAAGAAGAAGAAGAAGAAGAAGAAGAAGAAGAAGAAGAAGAAGAAGAAAAAGAAGAAGAAGAAGAAGAAGAAGAAGATGAAGAAGAAGAAGAAGAAGAAGAAGAAGAAGAAGAAGGAAAAGAAGAAGAAGAAGAAGAAGAAGAAGAAGAAGAAGATCTCATATATTTTTTTGAAAAAAAAAGATGAATAATGTGCTATAGCGAGAGAGACCCTGAAGTGATTTCAGAGGCCGAAAAGTGCGACGGGGGCACGCATTATAGATTGGACAGGGGCAAAGAAGTCACGGCTTTTAAAAAGTTCAGAAGAGTGCATAGATCTGATTAGAAATTCCGCATGCAAAAATAAGCAACTCCAGATCAATGGTCGAAAAAAAAAAGCCGCGAACTGTTTCTAAACATAGAAAAATTGGACTCCAAATAATGGACACGTCCTCCCCCCACCCTCAACCCCACCTCTTCGCCAAAGTATACTTTGCCAAACTCGGTTTACGGTGGAAAGTTATGTTCTAACCGAGAATACTCTGTTTTTGTCTGTATATGATTTATTGCTTCTTGGATAATCGTAGCAGTTGAATTAATAATATACACTGGCCCATATTATTGCCTCGAGCGGAGACTTTATCATTAACTGCGGACGCTCAGGTCAGGCTGTTCACGATGTTCCTAAATCTTTGATAATGTCAGACTGATAAAGGGAAGTATTTAAAAAAATCAAGACTTTATCAGGAAAACCACAACACTCTCTTTTACTCTTCTATTTCCGAAACCGAAATAAAAACTTCATCAGAGTTTTCTATCTTCTGCTTTCTCAAATAATTATGTATGTTCGAATTTACATTCCTCAGCCTTTCTGTCATTTATTGACAGCGACATTGAAATATTGAATTTCTTTCTCTCAGTTTCTAATTATATTGGTAACTCAGGGAGCAAAATACTCATTTTCTACCGAGATGAAGATGCAAAATAATGTTTTAAAAACTCAAGGTCTTTAAAATAAATAGATGCAAATTAGACGAAGATGCCTATAAAAGCAAATGCATTTGACTGATCTTGTGTCGTACTGCACAACGCACAGCCATGTCTGGAAAACGTCAGAGCTACACTCACTTTTTCCTGTTTTTCGCTGTCGCTCAGCTACCTGGGCTACTGGCATTCAGCGGAACATCTCAGATTCTGAGGACAGCGGAGGACTTGGATGATCTTGGGTCTTCCTACAACACCTACACATTCAAGCTGGACGGTGACAAGCCACCACCTGATGTAGAAGAGTTTCCAGATTTGAATCCATGCGCCCCTTATATCGTCGCCGTGCACTTCCTGAAGGAGGAGCAATGGTACTTTGTTTGTACCGGTATCCTTGTTGCTAAGAACAAAGTTCTGACAGCATCCAACTGTGTGGAGCGCAACAAGGAATACCGGGTTCTAGTGGGATCTGACTACTACTTCCGCAACCCTGACGCCGTTGTCGTGCCCGTTACAAAGATCAAAAGACACCCCGAATACACCAAGTTGGACTCTGTGCCAAAGCGTGGGTTTGAGGCCAATAACATTGCCATGCTGATACTTGAAGAGGATGTGCAGGAGTCGGAACGCATCCAGATTCTTCCCATAGCCCCATGCGTGAACCCCGAGGAAGGTGAAGTGTGCTTTATCGCCGGGTTTGGAGTCCCCCCTGTCTTCACGTCAAATCTGGTCGGCAACCCAAACGCCAACTTAACCGTGATCAGCAACAATGAGTGCCAGACCCGCATCAACGACCTGGATTTGAATCAAAACATCGTCATTAAAAACCAGCACCTGTGTACCCTCGACGATGGGTCCAACACTTGCTTTGCCTTCAGCGGCAGTGGGCTTGTGTGCAGCGGACATCTTGTTGGGGTATTTGGCTTCTCGACCTCTCTTTGTTCACCGGGCACCCTGCAACCAATGGGTTTTACCAGACTGTCCTCTTTTGAAAGCTACCTACAGTTCCTTGTCAACCTGTAGACACAGCCTGAAGTGGCATCGACACGAGCTACGCTTCAACCTGGTGAAAACCATTATTATCTGGCCAACATATATTATGACTTACAAAAAAACATTTTATTGTCGAAGCTTCACTCACATTTGAGAAAGAATTATTTCAGTGCGCCACATAGCGACATAGTGAACTTTTTGAGTTATGAAGAGATCCCATCCTCATAGAAATGCCAGGAAAGAACGCAGATACTTTCAAAACTTTTGATTTCCCCATTTCAAGTACGTTTCCTAGAGTCCATTTAGATTGAACCTTGGACGATTTGACAAACTAAGCTTTGTATTTTAGAGAAATGTCTATTGGAAGAAACAACAATACTATTTTCTTAAGGGCTCAATTTGTTTCATCAGTATAAAGAGTTTCCGATTGTACCATTTCAGCGCCGTTTCAGTTATTCCAGCAAATGCTACTGTCATTTACATGTAATTTGGTCTGTAGGTTCAGGGTGTATCTGTTAATTGTTGTTTATTTCTACATGTCCAGTTTTCTTTATATGCCAAATTGGGAGTGGTTATTTGGGTAGTACCTTTTCCAAATGCCAGATAGAATAGAATTCTAATGTATACTGAACGCCATTAAAAACGCAACACTTCGTTGGCATAGTATGAACACGTTTGTATCAAATGATTATAGATCAAAAGAAGTGTTTTTTTAAAAGTTTATTCCATTTCCAACAAATGTGAACCATTTTGATCTCTCACTTAAATGATTTCGATACATTGTCCTTCTTCTCTCGGCGCACCCCCTTCAGACACATTTGCAGATAAAGACAAATCGAAGCTCAATAAAGATTTCTTACCCTTAGTGACTTGTATGGCCATCATTAACATTTAAACAGACCAAAACACTTCTTCACATGGATTTTGTAACATTTTCAATATTTTGTTGAGAAATTCTGTCCCACTTTCGCGGCAGCGCGATCTTCCTATAGCTGCAGATTCGCAAATCGGCACACACTTTGCGGTTCAGTTCATCCCATACGTGCGCTGTTGGAGACATGTCGGGTACGTACACTGGCCAGTCCATGACATTCAAGTTATGATCTTCCAGAAACTGTGTTGTTTGCTATTTTGGCAGTGTAAGGGCAGGAGTGTCGTGTTGGATGACTGAGAGATTTTGATTTTTTCTTTGTGTTGTTTGGCACCGTGAATAACGGCGCTGTTCTTGCGGCTTCGTTATTTGCAGTCCTAAATAAGGCGTTCTTAATCTGTACTAACTGCTCCACGCCTCATACTGATGAACGAAATAACTTCACGCACCCCATGCGTTCCTTGAGCTGCCATGCTACTTTTGAGACACTAAACGATTTTGCAGATGCGACAGCAAAATCTGCCTCTCGTGAACACGGCTGGTCACTCGAGACTGTCCTATTCCTGCCCATCGCGGACATTTCAAGTGTTCTAAAATCTTTAAAGTCGAGAACAATACAAGCAATGCATTTTAGCCGTATTGCTGCTTCTGAGGCAGATTTTCCGCCATGAACAAGGCGAAAGCGAAATTTGCGATCAGCTTTGCAAAGTTGAGGAGTCTTATAATGAAAGATATTAAAAACATTGTTTAAAAAAAAGCTAGGACTTTTGTTTGGAACGAGCTATGGGTCATCTTCCAGGTAAATAATTTTGTATTCTTTTATAATATAGGAACTAATGAACACATTTTACTAAAGTATAGTTTACTGTATTGTAATGAAAAGTACTCATGGAAATAGCAAAATCGTGCATGGGTGTGTGGACTAACACATACTCACTTGTGTCTCCAAAATTCGTGATGATCAGAGCATATTTGGCTTTTGAATAACTTTTTGAAAGGCGTTCAGTATATTATTCATATCTTATGAAGATTGAAAAGCGCTTAAACATATTTTATTGGTTTTCTTCAGAATTGTTCCTTCTAAAAAAAAGTCATCTTTTTAGTTTAGAAGAAGAAAAATGAGTCTCTCCCTCCTCCCCCCACCATATTCTTCTTCTCTAGCAGAGAAACCTTTTCCTCTTCCTCCACCCCGCCCCCCTCCCCCTCCTTCCATACAAATCGTACAGCTTGCCAAGAAATGTGATCCTCGTTGAGCGTCGGAAGGAATTTGGTTCCCTAACGACTCTAAAAAACTCAACCCCTTTTCACGACATGAGAGTATTGAGAAGTGTGGAGGTTCACAATGTGTGTCTCTAAACCCTACCTCATTCGCTAATATTTTCCTCATTCTCGTAAAAAGCTGAAATAAAAATGAATTCTGCCTATGTAACAATAAGATAATCTTCCCAATATTGTTAATCGCTAATCAAAAGAGAAGAAGAAAATCATAACCCAAAACTGCTCGTTAAAATGAAATGTCATTAAAGAGAAGTGGTCGTTACAAAATAAAGACATGACATTACACCTGTTTTATTTGCCTGTTTCATAAACTCATGTGATAACTCTGTCTTTTACATGTAGCCCGTTGGCACCGGTTTTATGCTTCCTTAATTAAGGGAATTTCTTCCTTGTTTACAAGTGAAAATTTCAAGCAACAGGACATGAGAAAACTGACAAATTGAATCTTCAGATTTAATATAAGCAACTGAATCGAACCCAGATTCCCAGCGGATTTGAGGGTGGAAAGGGGGGGGTGGGGGAAAATGATATAGACAAACACTGAGCTCCAGCAGGAACTGCACAACTTCTGATAGTTGAATAACACTGATTTTCTCGAGGGTATGGTATCTTTCTTTACTACGACGTTCCTACTTTTTTCTTTACTCCTACAGCTTTGTGCGTCTCGATCGAATTTTTAAAAATGTAGCTCTTTTACGTCTCCATTGATACAATGCAGGCAGGTAATTTAGAAAGCGGACTTCGACCCTGCCTGTCAGGGCCAACCTTTATTCAGGATACAACGTTCCAGCAGAAAGACAGATACTCGATAAACTTTCTCCCCATACGGGGATCGAACTCGGATCTTCTACGTGCGACGGCGAAGAACATGACCTTTATACCATAGACGCCGGTCCTTCGAAAAAGGCACATTAATGAGCTACAAATCCTTCTAGTCTTTTTTCTTGTATTTCACGAGAACAGAACTCACACTTTGATATTTTCTTGTTGGATACCCAGCTTGTTTATACACAACATTTACATTCAGGTGGAAATGCGTTAGCTAAAAGGACGGAAGAGCAATTTTAAAAAGACCTAGATGTATCCTACTTAGCGATTGGTGTTTAGCGTCCTCATCCAAAAATATTGAGTGGAAATTATTCGTCGACCTGCTTGACGGCGCAAAGTTAGTTTCTCAGAACTGTGGCAAGTCTCTCCCCACAACGACGTTATTTGCTGGTTGTTCGCACCACATCCGCCTTCAGGACTATCGATCGATCTACCAGAAATCTTAAATATTAATTTATATTCTAATGAGGTTTAAGACCTACGTTAAATGGAACACGGAATGAGAAGCTCTCAATACAACTACAATTTCAACATTTTGTTTTAGGTAGTGACCAGTCCTTTAAACCTGACGCCAACTTGAAACAATTCGTCGCTTCGCCGCAATATATATATATATATATATATATATACATAGTCCAATTTGACAGAGACGCTGAAACGCTGTAAACGTAATTGTATGGTGCAATAAAGAAATATATTCTACAGCAAGTGTGTGGCTAAATTTGATTATGTTTTTAGTTAAACAGATTCTGTTCAACATCAAAGTGCGTCTATTAGGAAGCCTCTTGAAAATGAATTATTTTATAACTATATCCGAACGAAATAGTAACCAAGCTTTCTGCTGAATTTGTCTTTTGAGTTCCAGCAAACAAACAGCAGGGATGTCCTTGTCCTAAATAGCAAGCTTTATCGTACCGACAAATGAAGACTTACGACACAGTAGAGATGAAAGACAAAAAGAAGACGGTCTTAAGACGTCATGACGATGGCACTGAGGGTGCAGAATATTATGTCAAGACAGTAGCCCCGGTGTTGCGCACATGCGCGAGTGTTTATATATTCTCAAAGCTGAGATGCGCTCCGGTCTTCCTGAAGAGCCAGCCTTGCTATGCACAGGATTTGTTCTGGAGGAAGAGAGCGCAAGCGTATGAACTCTTAAGAATTCTACCAAAGAATAAACCGAGAGCCTTATGACGCAGATACTGAGACATGAAATATATGTTACAACATCGGCCGCTTCCTGCTCTAGATGTTTATCTTTATACTTTGCTTTTTTTACGTCGATTTCA